AAAATGTAATTTTGGATTGCATATGGTAAGGGGAAATCCTTCCAATACCTACCTGCCCACAATATTACAAGACCACTTGGCCATGACCAAAGTTTAGCCCTCCCAATTTTTCATGCAATCACTGGATTTGATATGTCACCTTTGCATTCTACTACTTCTCTAAATCATCTGATTTGAAGGAATGGAAGGTGTATACCCAGAGCTATTGCAGTTGTTTTTAAACTTTGAATCTTTTTTTTAGAAACATTGCAGTTGTAGAGTCATTTGTTATTCTGATGCATTCTAACCCACAGTTTCTATCACCACATGAATGTGGTTGGACTACTCCCACTGCTGTTACTGAGGCCACAACATATGAAAATGTAGGTCCTATGAGGCGGATATCTGTATAATAACAAAAGATGTTGCATCCGAGGCATGCAAAAAACTTGTTTGATGTTTACAAGGAGTGTTGAGGGAACATATGCAAATGTTTGAAATCATCTCATTTGCTCTGGGCTATGTAGCCGTAGGGGAGACTGTCAGAATCTATAAATCCTGACCTGTTTTGATTATGTTTTATGGATTTGGATTATATTTTTAAATGATTATACACAGAATCTTAACAATGCTACTACTCAGTATAAACTGGACTGTCAAACATTTTCAAATCTTAGAAAAGAGCTCGATAAAACTATAGTACAGTATTGAGCTACTGGTACTAAAAAGGAATAAATGGATGTTGTGATTCTTTATATAAATAAATAAATAAATGGATGTTGAGATTTTTTATAATTTTTTTAATCATTATTTCTTATTTCAGAAGGAATAAATGGCAAAACTTGACTATAATCAACATTTTGAGCTCGTTTGAGTAACAAGTGTGACATATCTTTATTTAAATTATTACGGTAAAATGGCATCAAACGCTAAGGCCGTAAGAATTAGTTTCTTTGTTTTGCGTCCCCTTGCTTGCATGATTTTGAGTAAATCAGAAAAAAGCAAACACATCCATAGCAACCACAAGGGTCCGAAAGTAACATCGCATTTCATTCAATCAGAATCAGACGAAATGGCGGATAAATTGATGTGCGTCAAAGTTGACAGTGTTATTGATTACTTGGGCATACATTGTGTATTTTTTTTTTTTTTTTACCCTTGAATAATACCTATATTTAAATATATTGTATAAATGTATAGATCTGTGTTTGTATCACTGCAAATTGGTATGTCATTCCTTTTAATGCCCATAAAATGTATACATTTCTCAGCAAACAAGTTTGTGTTTTTTTGAGTTTGTGTTTGTTTTCCTTGTACCCTTGCATGATTTGGATTTTGCCAGGACGCAAAACAGAGAATCTAATTCTTATGGCCTAATATGAAAATATCATTTTTGAAGTTTCCAAACATTTTTTACATTCCCTAGAAATAGTATATGACAAAAGAAGATTAAAAAACCCTTTAAAGCTCATTTGAGATGCATACGTCTTGTACTTTGAAAATTATTCAGGTAAAATATGGCTACCCATAGGCCACAATAAGCTAAAATGAAAATTTAGATTTTTAAGAAATGTAAAATCATTTTTCTACATCTAATCAAGGGCAATCTGATAAAACAAAGCTATATGCACCATTTTGAGCTAATTTGAGATGCATATATTACATATCTTGAAAATTATTAAGGTAAAATATGGTTACCCCTGGCCTTTTAGAAGCGAAAATGAAAATATGGATTTTTGAAAAATTTCCAATAATTTTTTTACATCTTATTAGGAATAATATGACAAAACAATACTCTATGCATCATTTTGACCTCATATGAGATGCATACATTGTATATTTTAAAAATTATTAAGGTAAAATAAGGTTACCCCTGAGCTGCATGCACTTAAAAATTGAAATTTCGAGAATTTTTTTCTCAAAAAATACATGAGCCACCCGTGGTATATTTTCTATCTGTGATAAACACTCAAACCTCTACTACTCTACTATGAATTTTTTCAGGACTATCAGACATCACATTCTTGAAATACAGTACTGGATGTTCCGTATTTGGCCCTTTAAACAACGAATTATTCTTAGATAATTGGGTTAAAATGAGTTTTTCTTGCTACAGACAACTTCTCAATTGGGTTTTACACAATTTCAAGGCTCAAAGCAATCACCAAATGAAGTCATTTAAAGAAAAATACTTTAAAACCATTTTTATTTAATTTTAACAATATACCCCTCCCAGTCTGGTAGGGGCGGGGGGTCAGAGGCTAAAAAATCCATGAAGACCACCCCAAATCACTTGCCCTGAAATCATTTTTTACTCAGATCATATGATTCTACAACTGTGCCAAGTTTGTTGCTTTCCTGAAAAAGCCGAACAAAAAAAGGACATCTGACCCCGCTATAACATTCATATTTCAAGAAGTACTACCAATAACAATAGGTGATTTAGTAAGAAAATAGATAATTGCTGACTTAACTATAAGTTCTGTCTATGATTTTGCCTAGCAAAGGAATATAAATCGATATAGTGAAATTGAAAAATTGGGGGTAGGGGAGAATAAAAAATATACATCTAATTTAAAGAGGTTCATCATTATAATTAAACGATACCACAGTTTGCATAAGCATTACGGAACATGCGCAAAAAAATGCAAAGGTATTCATCAAGTAGTTTTTAAAAAAGAAACTGTTTTTCTCTCGTGAAGAGAACGAGAATCACGAATATTTGGCGAAATTTTATTTTAGTTTTAAAATCCATAAGATAGTCAGTCAATAGTGACTCGATTTTCATGAAATAAAGCATGTTGGTAAGAGAATTCAATCCGTTAATTGATTATTTGCCAAACGGAGCAATAATGATTACTTTGCATTTTCTACAGTATTAGAATTGTAGAAACAAGGTATTAACTTTCAATATTTTATTCTTTGGCCAAGGTTAGAAAAATAACAGAGGCACAAAAAACATGCAAAAGAGTACTATTAAAAAATCGAGCATATCATATGGTATCCACAAACATTTCTTTAGGCTAGTGTGCTCGAGATTACTTTTGCACAATACAATAAGAAAATATGAACAAAGAACATAGGTAAATTAATAAGCCTTTTTATTCTCACTTTTCAACACTACGCACTGGCGTTTTGGCGTACATTGTTCCTACGCCACTGCATTTGTTCATCATTGTATAATCTTTCATTGAGCTCAAAATCATTAGTTCACCCCGGAACAACCCTAGATTGCGTTGGCGGGGCAAACAGCAGATTTAATGATGCATACGTTTATTATTTCCCTTTCTACTCAATCAAAAGCAAATAGGTAAAGCGGACTATTGTTCCCCATGTTAGAGTGATTATGCCTCAGCATTATGCAAATCCATTAGAGAAATAATTCTTTGAAACATTTTAAGGAAGTGATCATTTATCAATACTTGACAAATTTAATGGATGGGACTAGAGGATATCAGGGGTCGTGAATTTGTACGATCCGTGGTCCAATCCGGATAAATTTCGTCATGGTTATGATGCATTGTGGGATTAATTCTGGAATTTATCCGAACATGGATGAATTCGCTCAATCTTTAGGATAAATTTTATCCAAATCTCAGTCCACCTACGTATGGATTGTTTTTGGTAGAGATTAAAAGGTGGATTGGATCGAGTGGATTGGATTCATGTAAAAGGTGGATTGGATCGGGAATCTTCAAAATATGGATTTTTAGTTGATCTCCCTCTAAGCAATTTCCTCCGGCCTAAAGTATTTTGTGATAACTTGGGTCCCTTCAAGGAATCGACAAAGCAATTACAAATACATACTTCAATTAGTTGATAGATACTCTAAAGTATTTAACTGCTCTCCCTTGTAAATCAACATTAGTATGACATAATAAACAAAGATCTGTAGATAAAAGCTGTCATTCAAATTGACGTGTAGGTGTTCCCAAGACATTTCTGCCATGTTCTGTTTGAATTGAAAACAGATGATACATACAGATCGACTTCAAAAGTCTGCCTTATGATTTGTGAAACGTCTAAAATTACCCTTGGAATGAATATTAAGATTGTGTATCGGGTCACTTTTCTAGCCTACCCAAGCAAAATAATATAACATCTATTATTTGACGTTGTGGAAGTGAGGAGAGCATTAATCGTCTGATGGGAGATCAATATAAATTTTTAAGGAAAATCCATATTTTGAAGAATCTCGATCCAATCCACATTTTACATGAATCCAATCCACTCGATCCAATCCACCTTTTAATCTTTACCTTGTTTTTCGGATAAATTTTATCCGAATGCCAATGTAATTTGGATAAATCTTGGGGATTCCGCCAAAATTCGAGGATCATACGAATTCACCAAATACTGTATTAATCCTGATCAATAATCCAAAAACGATAAAAATCTGGATAAATTCTTGGATCGTACGACTTTATGGGACCAGGACAATACAAGTAATGATTCTGACACATTTCCATTATGTAACATTAACAACATAAAATAGAACACAAACTTTTATATTTGGCATATCTCTGATTAAAGGAGGTGAAGGGATAGTGTAAAATATTAGAAGCATTTTCGTCAAAAAGCAAGCCAATCTTTCCCATACAATCCTATTTTACTTCCTGAAATTTGATCTGATCAGGAATAGAAATTATTGAAAATTTAAGATGCAGAAATGACTGAATGAATAGAATTGATAAAGGGAAAATTTACATTTAAAATGTTTTGCTAGAAAACATATGAATCCAGTGATAAAGTCCTAATGAGTGATAGAATCCTGCAAGAAAGTCAGAACTGCTGGCCTTTTAAGAAATTAAACAGAAACCTCAATTCCTCCCCTACTTTTTTACACTAGAAATGTAGATACTTTTTGGTTTAATTGATACCCTTCTTGTTGACATAAAATCCTCATAAGAACACACACAACTCAGTCACAATAACACCTCTCCGGCTTGGGTACTGTAATTCTCTGTCAAAACATACACCAGAAAGAAACATACACACATACGAATATTTCATTATATATATTTTCTCCATAAGAAAGCAATGGTTTACATAATGGCACACACATGCAAATATGGTGCACAATCATTATTCTGACTCATAAATTATTTCATAATTCAATAACTTGGTGCTTGGCACTTGTACGGATGTTAAAATCAACGTTTTAATTACTGGCCTAAGAAAGGATGAAGGTGACAACATTTATTGTTTACTAAAGGCTTTTTATGGCCACTTGTCTGCTGACATTAAAAATCTCTAGTCATAATGTGAACCAAGTCAAAGTCAAAACAACATGGTTTGCACTCAGTAAGAGTTATAGGGGCAAAATGTGGGAACAGAATACTTGTTGGGTTTGGTTATAACAGGATACAATTTTGCACTATTAAATAGTAAACAATAAAGGTTTGGCAGTGAAATTATGATTCTTTGGCAATGATGGTCTTAAAGGCCCTTTATTGAAATATACTGCATGATGATCTAGAAACATTGTAAACACAATTGAAATCCAGAAATCACAATCTACAATATTTTCAAAAATAGCTATTTCGCATAACATACACTTTCTATATTCAGAATGTGAAAACAACTATGCATACTGTGTCTCTACCTTAATAACTCCATCACCATAACAACCTAGATCCTAAATTAAATAATTTCCTAAAATAAAGATCCTAGTCCACTTGCTGACGCATGTGAAAACAAGGCGTCTGCACATTGTTTCGTTTCTAAAAGGAGTCTGGCTTCGTTTATCCAATCAGTGGCTGCTCTCCTGGACTCCCCTGTTAGCTGGTTCATGAAGCGAACGGCCTGTTCAACGTCTCCCTTTCTCAGCCAGTAGTCAGCGTTAGCAAGTATGGCAAAAGTGTCCAGTTTTACAATGTCTATTTCATCACTTGAGAGAATCTTAGCAGCATCTATGACGAAAAATGACTGAAGCCAAGATACGAAAAATTTAAATAGAGTTCCTCCTGTTTCGTCTATCATTGCTACTCGTTTGCAGACACGTTTTACATTCAAGAAGCGCTCACGGAGGGACTCCTCCGTCCACACACCCCTTATCTTAGCCTCGTCCGGCATGGTGTCAATCATGAGGGTCACAAACGGATTATCAACTCCAGCCTCTTTAATAGCCATAAGTTCATTGGCTAAAGGCTTCATTTGCTCCTCCCACGAATAGCCACTCTTGCCATCACGAATAACAGCCTGAAGTGTCTGACACGCCAACCACAATTCCTGCGCCTTGCGTCCCTGCAGCTCTAGCTCTGCACGAGCTGAAAAACAAAATTAATGAACAATTGACAAATGGACAATGATAATGTGAGAACTGTTTGTGAAAAACACTCTTGATCAACAATTTCAGGTGATTAGACAAAATGATGTGATGTATCAAAATCCAAATCCAATCATAGACGAGGCATTATGCATAATGTCACTACCTGCCATTTGTTAACAACTACCCCCAAGCACGGTCTACAATGGTGACCCAAAGGGGTCTTTTATGTTATATTTTGACTAACGTAAGCTAGAGAATGAATTATAAATTTTCAACAACTTTGATAAAACATGCTACAATCACAGGTACTAAACAGAACTTGTGATACCATGAGTATGCTTGGTATGGTAAGTCATTGAGCTATATGTATAAATGAATCCAGGGAAATGAAAATGGATCCTAAAATGCTCAGGGTATGTTGGGGTCTGGTTAGAGCCCGTGATAATGACTGAGTAGACTAACCTTCTACTGCAGACTCAATGCCTTTGAGCCTAGCGATCCAGCCAGCAATCTCAGCAGCCAACCTGTCCTTCTCAGCGATGATTCCTGCTTTGAGGTCATCATTGAACTGGTCCTCTAGCTCTTGGCGTTGAACACGCAGGACATCAGCCAGGTGATCACTATGAGCAGCAGCCTGTCTGGCCAGCTGTTGGCGTATCTCTTGTTCATACCTGAATTGAGCCTCAGCATCCTGGAGAATACCAAACATGCACACATCACAAGGATAAGAAAAAAAAGAAAAATTGTTGAAATGACATCTGGACTACATATAAAAGAAAGCACTTATATTATGTTACATTTGGGAATATACATGGCAATTTTATCCAAATCAACTTTTTTCATAGTTGGTCTTTTAACATGAAATTTTCTGGCTTTTCTTAAGATTGAATAAGGCTTGTTTCAGCGAAAAAATTGAGACTCTTCCTCCCACCAACATTGAAAATTCAAGCTAGTTCAATATACGAGTACAAATATACTCCTCACCCATTTCAGTTTCTCATTGTCAAACATTCTCCTCTGGTTCTCAAGTTCTTGTATGACTCTCTCATCAGCAATCCCTTCATCTATGACTTGCTGCTTCTCCATGGCAGCATCTAAACGTTGGTTCTCCAACACCTGGAAAATCAGACAATCAGTGTACATAGTAGACAATCATAATAGGAGCACTTGATTCTCCAAAAAGTCCATAAAACAACACAGAGCATTTATATAGAGTCTATTTCTGTTAGCTTTTATCACAGAGCCAAACATTTATGCAATATATATGACAAACATTATCTGGTCTTCAAAAATACCATAGGTGACAGAATTATGATATTAGAGAGAGGTTGAAAATACAATTAATGATGATGACATTTGGTAGAGGTGTTTGGTACCTGTTGCTCTATGAGTTGTCTCTGGAGTTGTTCTATTCTGCGATGTGCATGTGCAATAAGAGAGTTCAGCTCATCCTCAGACAGTTTACCTGTCAACATAATTTAATAACTATGTACATAATGATGACAAGTGAATTTGTAGACACAGTGATATATATTAGACATTTTAATGGAAAATTCAAAATGGCTACCAAGTAATTTACCCAGCATGCCCTTAACTTAAATGCCGTTAACCTAATCAGATCTTGCAACTAGTCTGTTCTTGCATCTGTAAAAATTGCAAGTTGAACAGGTAAGTAGTTTCCTGGAATTTTGATGACATTAAGATTTAAGTGTGCATTCTAAAAGCATACAAGTCTTTGTGAAGCTACTATTATGTTTTATTTGAAGTAAAAAAATTGGAATAAAAAGCGAACCTTTTCCGCCCACTTTGACATCAGGAGTAATGCTCTCTAGCTCTTTCTGGAACTGCTTTTTCCCCAAAGCCACCAGATTGCGAAATTCTTTCATAGCATTTGCCTCAGATTCGGCTTTCTTAACCTATAAGACAAAATAACCCTATATCTGGTTTATATCAGTTACCATAGCTTTTCAAAATTATTGTTTGAAAAATACCAAATTAGTCTGAACTTAACATCTGTAAAAATAAAATAACCTAAGATAATTATTTTAGAATATTCTCTGTAACTGAGACTGAGGGAGATATGATTTTTTTTTAGAGAAATGATATGATGATTCAAAAAGTACTGACCTTGGTGACACTTTTATCAAGTTCGTAGCTTATCTTATTGAGGAACTTCTCATTTGTATAAAGTTCTCTGTTTCTTTTAGTGACGTCATTACTCTTGGCTTCGTCTATGGCATGCTTCAACTTTTCAAGTACCTCCCTGTACAGTATTCAAGCATATAATACAGTATAAAAATGCAGTGCATTATATCATTTATATTGCAAGTCTAATCATTCACCACATTATTGTCTGTGGGGAGCATTTTCGTGGAACATGTTTTCAGATGGTGAATCATTCAACTTGTATTTTGCATGTGTTTTTGACACAATACTAATTTGATTGCATTACTATGAAATCTTAAAACCTTTATGGTCTTATCTTAAACCCATGTTGTTAAAAATAGCAGAAGACAGTTGAAAAGTTAAAAAATGGTCCAGACTGTGTTCCTACCTAGTAGAGTTAGTTGTCTCCAAGGCAGCTTCTAGAGCAGTGACTTTATTATCATTAGAGCTTGTAACTTGCTTCCATTCTGCCTCTTGGTCAGACTCCTGCAATGTGGAAACATAAGCCTATTACATAAGAAATGTGTGAGTTTATGTAAGGCTGTTACATTGAAAATGAGTGTTTACATAATGCTATTACAGTGGAAATATGTAGGCTATAACAGTGGAAATATGTAGGCTATTATTTAGGAAACATTTGTGTTATCATTAATATTCATGAATGGTGGCAGCCAACTAAGTTTCATGGCGTAAACTTTACAGTTCAATGAGTCTAGTGTTAAATGCATACCAGTATTTAAGTTAAAGTTAACTTGAGATTTATTTCATTATACACTATACCTTAGCATCCATGGCATGTCTTATCTGTTGGGTATGCATCTTGACTGCTTCTATGGCTGCAATCTGTGCAGCAAGGGCCTTATCCATGGCAGCCTGGCACTGCTCGGACATATCTTTCAGGATGTGCTCCAGTGCTGTATGAGAAATGTACACATTTCTAATTGGAAATTCATTATAATGATTACACATATTGCAACCAAATATATCAAGCACTAGTTAAGACTAAGATTGAATGTAATTTTTTGAGAGTATTTTTGGATGAAACAAATCCTGGTTAAAGTGAATACTGCTGGAACACCAGATAAAAGCGTTCACATATAGAGGTGTTCACATAAGGGTAGTATTCATATTCAGATGTTTTCACATTATGATGTATTCAGTATTCACATCTAGAGGTATTCAAATGGAGGTGTTTACAAAGAGATGCATCAAAGTCAATGTGATGGTTAAACTGGTAGAAAGAACAACGGCAACGCCAAAGCGTAGCGAATCCCATCGAACAGAAATGGCTGGCATTTTTACAAACGAAATATATAGCAAATATCATAAAACAACAAACCAGAAAGGCTACCATTTTCAAAATGGTTGCTCACTCGCCAAGTTGTCATCAGAAGAAATAATATGCTTTTAAGTAGCCACCTATAAAATTTTTGAAAAATCGCACACGTGTACTTGTAAAATAACACACATAAAAATGGTGGCCATTTTTCAAAATGGCCGACTACTCCCCAAAGTTTTATTAGACAATGTGCCATGCTTATAGTATTCACATACCAAATATGAACAAAATCGCTCCACTCCTTTTCGAGTTATAGTAAAATACGTTAAAATGGCGGCCATTTTTCAAAATGGCCGCCTTCTACCAAAAGTGTCTTTAGACAGTGTGCAATGTTTATAGTATTCACATACCAAATATGAACAAAATCGCTCCACTACTTTTCGAGTTACAGCAAAAATGGTAAAATAACGAGTAAAGGCCGGAAATTTTCAAGATGGCTGCCATGTGCTTTTTTAATATCTACATTTGTAGCTTTATTAATGTCCTTTATAATTTTTTTACATTAAAAACATACTGCTATTACAGTTTTACATATTGCACCTAAATAACTGTAAAATCGGCACTAAAATGGCCGCCATTTTGAAATGAGCAGCCATTTTGAAAATCGGCTTTCAAGCAGAACTTCTACCCCCATAGGGTATATGTGTACAAAATATGAACAAAATCGGGCCAACGGTATTTGAGTTATTGCCCGGACGGACGGACGGACAGACGGACGGACGGACGGACGGAGGCGTTCCCTATATCCCTCCGAACTTCGTTCGATGGGATAATAACTGTATCTGCATATCTTTGTACTTCATGAAAGTTTTGTTAGGATTTTAAGACGGTTAACAACCACTTTTTTCAAACCTGCATTTTCTGCGGCATCCTCGGCCTCCTTCTCTTTTATCTTCCTGGCAATCTCATCTTTCTCTCTCTGCTTCTTCAACTGTTCTTCCTTTTTCTTTGCCGCAGCCTCTGCCTTTAGCTCCTCTCTGGTTTTCTCTGGAGAAAGACATGCATTTACATATATAATTATACAGACTGGTCCAAAATAGGTGAAACTCTTTTTACAAACTTAAATTCAAATAGGAAGGAAACTCCAAAGGTAATTACAGGGACAAAATCAAATATCATTGGACCTCACAAATATAATTAGTTTTATTCCATGAAATGGGGAACAGCTGGGTTAAGCTAGTACTAATCAGCCTTATAAAAGCTTTTCATTTGGCTAAAAATATTTCAACAACCTTGCACTTGGAGAGGGAGGGGATCAATTTAAAATGCAATTCACTATGTTTTGGGATTGGCATCCCTTTAAATAGATCTGTGCTCTCCCTACATTGAACTTACTGAGGCGATGCGCCTCCAAACAATTGCAATCAAAGAAATGCACCTCAGGGTTATTCCTTGCGCCACTGAAAAACCCTACATGTTGTTTCTCCGCCTCAAAAGATTTAAAATAACAAAATCTTACCGAAAAGTCAAAGTTTTGTTTGTTTTTAAATTTTCACTTATGCAGTGTTTTATCGAACGCATATTCCTTTGCTTCAATTGCAGATTTACATGGAAGAAAAGCGAACGTTCGCTATTTTAGTTGACCGATCATAAATTCACGTCGTTCGTATATGCAGAACTTTATCGAACGCACATTTATTTGGTTCAATGACAGATTAACATGGAAGAAAATGAATTGTTCGCTATTTCAAACGACCGAACGCAAATTTGTGCTGTTCGTATTCACTCCACTATTTTTCTCCCAGACTTAAAATAACTTTCCCATTATTTCGATATATTTACTTGATTTTATCAGAAGAATGTCAGAAGCACACCGCTGGCAAGTTGTCTGGCACAACATAATCGAGTGTAAGTACTTTTTAAGTGAATCAGGTCGCCCGATTAACTAAAAATGGCCCTGTTGAATTTCAACAAAAAATATGCTTTTTTGCTGAATGGACGAAGCGGCAAATTTAAATTTTAAAAGTTTATTACCAAAAATGTAAACTTAGATTACTTTTTTCATAAATTTAAGGCCCATTTGCTTCAAAATTTGGCCTAAGATTAAAAAACAAGGCCTTAAAAGGCCCAGTAATGCTCAAAAAGGCCCACTTTTTTGGGCCTTTAGGCCTTTTTTACAAAATCCTCCCTACAAAAAAATTCTGGGGAGAGCACTGTAGATAATATACATATATTTTTTTCTAAAGAAAGTTATATTTATTTACACTTAATATCCTTTCTTGTTTGCAAAATTTAATGGGTCAGGTGAGGTATAATAAGAAAAATACTGAACATGCTTGCAGTGGGTGGTCAAATAAATTTGTGCTACATTTCCTATCCATGTTTTTTTCATAAATACATCCCAATTAGAGACTCTATGACAGATAGATAGTGAGATTTGCTTTAAATGAAACATATTGCTTGAACATAAAAACTTGAAGAGGATTTATGACAGACTAAAATATCAATTACCTTTCTTTTCCACTGGTTTCTCTGTTTTTTCAGGCTCTGGGTCTGGTATCTTGATAGCTTTAGCCTTACTTGCTTCTTGGCTGTCCTTCTTCAATATTGGAGCTATTTCTTTCAATGGCTTTGGTTTAGGCCTACAAAACATAATGTTATGTCTAAGTGTGTACACAATCCAAAGCATTTAATCTAAGCGTATTGAACTTTACAGCTATTTCTCAAAATTTGAAATCCTATGATTGATTTACATAACGAACACTGATATTCCAACATGAATTTGAACAACCACTTTTAGAGGTGGATGAGAAAGTCCAAAAAATCGAACGCTATATGCTATGTCAAGTAAACTTACGTTTCTACAGTCTCCCTGGGTGGAAGCTGATTTAATATAGCGTCTAGAGGTTCCATGACATATGGTACAGTAGATATCATTTTGCGGAAGTTCTGATCGTACCATGCATAGGCTACAGCCCCAGGGACACCAAGCATCACTGTGGCTCCTAGTAATTTGAAGAACCTGCCTCCTCCTCCCCTGGACAAAAGAATGAACACACTTTAATTTAGCGCACTTTCATTTAAGTTGAGCAGTGTCTGCCAGATCATTCAAGGTCATACCACTATTTTGCCTTTTTAGAGAGATTTCTACATTACATGTACTTTCATTTTGACACATACATCACAATCTTAAGTTAAGATAAAGTAAGCCCACCATGTTGCTTTGAATCAATATTCATCCGGCCAGCACTTTATCATATTTCAAGAGATACTATTATATTATGTGAAATGTCCTATAAACAGTTGGACTCACTAACCTTGGTGGTGGTACTTGAACCTCTGGAGTAGGAGGGACAACAGGTGGAGGGGTGACACGAGTGGGTTTAGCTGCTGCTTCATTCTTAACTACTTTGGGAGCCTCGCTTGGTTTCTCAGGTGGTTTAGTACATAACTTGTTCTGTGCCTGATGTCTTGGGCAGATATGCTGAAATATTAGTAGATTTCCTATGAATGTCATCTCAGTGATCATAGCCTAGCATCATACAAACTATTTATCAAGTATTTTCACCACATTGGCCAATGAAATCACCCCATTATACTAATTTCTGTTACATTTGAAAATTCTTTTGAAGTTTTACCATAGTTGATGACAGATATTTTGAATCACACTGACTGAATCTACAATTCTTAGGATGAAGATAATTCATAGAAGTGAAATGAAAATCTTCAATTTTAGATGGCTGCAACGCTTGTGCTCTTTGGAGAAAGTAGTGATCATGCGAATAAAGTCTAGAATTGACTGAAGTAAGAAGTATATATCATACCATGGGGTTTCAATTAGAGCCCATGATCATATTCATAGTAGCAAAAATAAAAGTATTTTGTAGGGTTTCAGCATTTAATTTCAAAATGGCTGACAGGAAGTAGGTATTGAGTAAAAAGATTTCTGTACTGAATCTGCATGTAGGAGACACACAACCTTTAGATCGCCGAGTGGGAAGACGAATAGATGGCATTATAAAAACAAAAATATAGTCCAATTAATGTAATTACATAAGCATCACCAGTGGTTGGATTTTGGTAAGTACATGAATGAAAAAGTGTATGTATGGACCAACTCTGAGACATGATTTGATGTGATTAAGGTGCATTTTGCGTTAAAAAATTTGACCTTTTTGACCTGCCTCAATCTGTCAAAATCAGAATGACATTTTTTGACATTTTCTATATATGGCGTCTTCAACAGGTGAGATATTTTGATTTTCATGGGGAGTTTTGATTCAAACTTTTTTGACTGACAGAGGACATACTGGGGTATGATAGCAAAACATGTCCACAAATCTTAGTTTTCTCTGGAAGACAGATCGTTTGTATGGGAATACGCATGTTATAACAATTAGTTGGGTTAACCCGTCCCCAAAAGTTACCCAGAAAATTTGAAGGTGATTTCTGTAGCAGTTTTGCTGAAAAATGTTGGACCTCAGAACGAACTCACCAATGCTGATAATATCGCCCCATATTATGTGGTGGGGACATAAAAAGTGGACACATGGTTGAGTAGACTTTTGCTAGAGTTCATTTCACTGTTTCATTGCGTCAGTAGAACGGCAAAAATAAGAAATTGAGAGACCATTGTGCAATAATATATGGAAAAGTATATTCATAATGTACAATTTTTTTCATGGCCTGAGTTCAAAACTAAAAAATCTGAAATATACAAATGTCATTCATGTACTATTTTTTTCATGGCCTGAGTTCGTCACTAACATGCTAAATATAAGAGTTAGCTGACGTTTGGGAGTCTGACTTACTTTCTAAAGATTAGAACCCGAATCTTAATGAAACCATATCACCTTTGTTCCGTCAACCATGGAGCATTTGCCACAACATCCAAGAGGTAAATCATTGACCGTGAAAATGAATGATTTCCTTGTAAGTTCCGGAAGTTTCAATACGAAAAATTACCGAACATATGTGAAAACCAAATATTTGTTCGTTGTTTTCACGATTTACAGGTTCGTTTGTTCTCCAATGTTTTGGTCTAAATTATAAAGCATCACCAACAGGTCTTACTCTATTAATCGACTAATACAGCAGACGGCTCATATATCTACGTAGCATTTCGTTCAGACCAATAGTGGGAGTGCAGATCACGCAGTTTCGTTCGTTGCGTACTTCACTTGAAATTGGTAATTTTAAATATTGGCTACTTCACTTCTTTTAATTTTCACACCAGACATGCTTGGTTGACACGTCAACAAAGTAAAGTTCAAGGGTCAATGCGTTATTTCGTGATAACTACAACGCCTTCCCGGAAGTCAACATTGATGAAAAATGAAAAAGTCGGAAAAGCATTTACACTAATTTCTATCAAATGCTGTGTTTATGCATCATCATCGGCGCAACAAAGGTGATATGGTTTCATTAAGATTCGGGTTCTAACCTTTAGAAGGTAAGTCAGACTCCCAAACGTCAGCTAACTCTTATATTTAGTATGTTAGCGACGAACTCAGGCCATGAAAAAAATAGTACATGAATGACATTTGTATATTTCAGATTTTTTAGTTTTGTGCAATAAGCCTGTGCCGTCTTGTAATTTGAATAATTTCAGCCATGTTAATCTTATTGAAAATAACATGGCAGAGAAGCATCCAAATATAAGAGGCCACACACTTTATAAGCCAAACTAGAAGCAATCCAAGATATACAAATGTCATTCATGTACAATAGGAATATAATTTTCCATATAATATTGCAAAATGATATTTTGATTTCATATTTTTTAGCTTTTACTGACGCAATTAAACAGTGAAATGGACTCTACTACTTTTTGCAAGGCCTGACTTCGTCGCTAACATGCTAAATATAAGAGTTAGCTGACGTTTGGGAGTCTGACTTACCTTCTAAAGGTTAGAACCCGAATCTTAATGAAACCATATCACCTTTGTTGCGTCGATGATGATGCATAAACATAGCATTTGATAGAAATTAGTGTAAATGCTTTTCCGACTTTTTCATTTTTCATCAATGTTGACTTTCGGGAAGGCGTTGTAGTTATCACGAAATAACGCATTGACCCTTGAACTTTACTTTGTTTACGTGTCAACCTGGAGCATGTCTGGTGTGAAAATTAAAAGAATATTAAGCAATGTTCTACATCCGCCAAGCTAAGTGAAGTAGCCAATATAAAATTACCAATTTCGAGTGAAGTACGCAACGAACGAAACTGCGTGATCTACAGTCCCACTATTTGTCTGAACGAAATGCTACGTATAAATGTGAGACGTCTGCTGTATTAGTCGATTAATAGAGTAAGACCTGTTGGTGATGCTTTATAATTTAGACCAAAACATTGAAGAACATACGAACCTGTAAATCGTGAAAACAACAAACAAATATTCGGTTTTCATATATGTTCGGTAATTTTTCGTATTGAAACTTCCAGAACTTACAAGGAAATCATTCATTTTCTCGGTCCATGATTTACCTCTTGGATGTTGTGGCAAATGCTCCATGGTTGACGGAACAAAGGTGATATGGTTTCATTAAGATTCGGGTTCTAACCTTTAGAAGGTAAGTCAGACTCCCAAACGTCAGCTAACTCTTATATTTAGCATGTTAGCGACGAAGTCAGGCCTTGCAAAAAGTAGTAGTGTGACCCGAGAATTTTTTTTCTAAATTTTTTTCTGAAAGTGCGGAACTTACTGACTTTCACCCATCTTTGCAAGAAGTTTTCATCAAAATTGCACATGGATGTATGCAGAAATCGTCAAGCTTGCTTTCACTTTGTTCTTACATGAATAATATTACTTACACGAAGTTTGACAGCTGATTTTGTTACTCGCAACATCGCCGGTCTTTCAAATAAAAATGGCGGTCAAGGTCATCAGGCAGGAAGTGAAGATTGCAACGCTAGATTCACGAATTAATAGGGCAATATTGTAGATAGTCGTGATAGTGGGGCCCAATACTGAATAGAGCTACATGTATTAATATACCTTCAAGGTGTATTCAATTGTATGTTTGTTTGGGGGGGGGGGAGGGCTGTTATACCTTATGTCCACCTAAATTAAGAACCTTGTCACTATTTAATTAATACATGTAGCCTAATGTAGTTTCCAATGTAGTTTCTTGATTCTGATTCAACTCAGCTCTTTCCGATCCCGAAAACTGAGAAAATCACCTCAACTCCCATTCTCCTTGAAACTGGAATAGAGAATAAGAAATGATGGATTTTCATTTCAATGTCAATTTTAATTTCTGTTTCGGTGCCTGTGCTTTACTTTACTAGGCAAAAACCCATTGTCCAGATGGGCTAGTACAGTAACCCGAAAAGTTAGAGGGAGGGGGGCACATCCATTATTCCGTAGGCTATGATAAAAAAAATTGGTCCCATAAAACCCAAAATTTAAAATTTAAGGCCCGTTTTTTTCAATAATATATAGCCTCGAATTAACAATGATGCCCAATATAAAGGGTGAAGTAGACTAGGTATCACCATCGGCTTTCAATTACCTTCAAATGAGCAATGCCATGCTTCGCTTTATGGTATTCAAAATTATTAGATAATTGTATGTCTTAGTATTATTTTGAATATTAATCTATTTCCACTATGATTAAAGCATAAAATATAATCAATCTCATGTAAAAGTAAACAAAAAAGAATAAGAGGTATTAAGATGTTCTCTTTGAGTATTTAATTGTGGGTAATTATTCAAGAACACATTCCAATAAAAACATAATTTTTGGGAGAATGTTCATTTTCTGTGTTGTCATAATTATTGATGAATTCCATTTTTATTAAATTATCAACATGTATGTAGATAATCATGTTTTTATTTTTGAGTTATTTCTTTAAATCATCCATAAAAAGTACACTTTAAGATTTTCTTGGAATGTGTACATTTTCCAATTTTGAAAACCCAAATGCAATGCTTATGTATGAAATATGGGAAGTTGCCTACCCTTAGTAATTGAAAGTCCATGGTATCACGTATTAATCTGATACTAAATTCGAGTTATGTCTGTGTTTCAAATATTAATTTATAGTCTAGTTGAAAGCCCTTGTTGATACCAACTAATATTAATGGAACTCGGCGAATTTGGATCAGTTATTGGATATGTATGAGCATTGCTCTTTTATACACGTAAATAAGATTTATTGTTTTGAAAAGGATTGGTATCGATACGGTCATGGGCTTGAATTCAACAATGTTTTTCTCTTAAACCAATTATTGAAAACATTCTGTAAAAACACGGTCCTTTATGACTGTTGACTGGTTGACAACAATTTAATGCGAAAAAATTCAGCTTGTTGGAACAAAATTGCAAATACAACATTTTCTTGGACCTCTCAATATTATGGTTATACAAACGAAATTTTGGTTGATTTCAGAAAAAGTATTCAAAAAATTAAAACAAAAACCTCCAAACTAGAAAAAATTAAGATAAAGCTTTTATTTCATTAAATATACTTTTTTAATCAACCAAACTTACCTTTGTACAATTACAATATTGAGAGACCTATACACGCTGTGTTTATGTAATTTTGTTCCAATGAGGTTCGGATAGATGTTTCATTTCATTCCGAACGTATGATACCAAGAGCAAAAGAAGTGTCTGATGTGTTTTCTAAAACAATATAGAGAAAAGTTCATATATTTGTTTCAAATTATATTGTTACCAGTCAAAAGATGACCATTTAATTGACAATTTGTAAAATTTTCAGAATTGTTTGATGACATGTTGAAAGAGATTGAGTCGTCCAGATTTCTATTCTGGACAATCAGTAATATCCCAATATAATTGCTCATAAAACATCATATATACCTTGATATATCTTGAGACCAAATTATAAGCACGATATCACCAATATATTGAGGATATCAACAGGACAACCAAAAGAACAACCGTCAGAATTGAACACAATAAGTCGAAAACAGAATACTATGTTTTTTGGGGATTTATCTGTATTGTAACCCCTTAGAAGTAATAAAAATGGCTTCTCTGAGCCAAAATAATCTGAAAGAAAAAGCCAATCAGACTGGAACAAATTTGAGCGGGCTTTTTAAATTTACATTTGAATTTCTATTGATGTAAGTGGAAATTCAAGGCTAGGAACAATCATCGAATTAATTCAAGCCTCAAAATTGATAAGTTGATAAATAGACTTGTTTTAAATCAAATAACACGAAAAAATCAGGGGGTTACTCTAATTTGGTTTTTAGGAGACCCGATCTCTATAAGAGAAACGTGTGTTCAAAAAGTTACCATATCGATACCCATCCTTTCCATATGTTATAATGTACATGTACATGTATATTTGCTAGTTTTTCAAAGAAATCTACAAACATTCTGCTACTGACATGTACATTATTTCAATCGCCGTAGAATCAATTTTCAAACGGCTGCATGGTGGTTACCTTGAAATATCAAAACGTTATGTTTTTCAGATACTTAAATGCGACTACCATTTATCAAGCAGGAAAAACCAATTGACACATCTCTCATAAAATGTTTCTAGTCTCCTGCTGGATGTTGAGTCTCACATCATAATTATATAATTTCAAGCGATCTGTCTATATAGGGTGCGTATACCAGTAAATTCATTATTTTTTCTCTAAAGTCATTAATGTATTCAGGTATTGAGAGAGATCCTTATTTCCTACATACCAACCTGCATAGTAAACAGTAACATGTAATATAATTTTGTAAAATCTAAATATGTTCATAACATCTCAGTGATATATAAAAAATGACATGCTGAGTCCAAAAATGGTGTCAATTCAGAAGGTCTTCAGTTGACAAAGGCAACTAAATCAGTCGTTGCTATGGCAACGAAGTGGACATAGTTACCATAGAAATGGCCAAATAAAAATATTAGAATGTTATCAAACGTCATTGGTCTAAAAAGTGAATCAAATTAGACAATGCATGATACTATTGCTCAACTTTTTATCAATTAATGAATTTAGTTTTTGTTTTCTAAAAATCACTTTTGATATTTTTATATGATACCTTAAAAACCTGCATAATAAGATATAACATGCTGTATCTTTTCCTAAAATGTGAATATTTTTATGAAAACTTCAATACAAGGTATAAATGACCTGCTGAGTCAAAAAACAGTGTCAGATTTTAAAAATAACATAATCCAAGAGGTCTACAGTTGACCAAACCAACTGAAACTGCTGTTGCTATGGCAACAAGGTGGACATAGTTATCATAGCAACAACCATAAAGAAATATTAGGAGGTTATCCTACATCGTTGTTATGTAAAGTGATGAAGATTTGACAATATTTGATACTGTTGCACAACACTTATTTATCTATTTAATTTCTATTAATTTTCAAAAAACTGCTAAATTTGAGTTTTTTAGATGGGTCCTTACAAACCTGCATAGTAAGAAATAAACTGCTCTATCTTTATATAAAATCTGAATTTTTTCATGAAAATTTCAATTTCAGGTAAATTTGACCTGCTGAGTCCAATTATGATGTCAGATTTTAGTAATATGGTAATCTTGGGCGTCTACAGTAGACTTTACCAGCTGAAATTACCGTTGCTATGGCAACAAGAGGGACATAGTTACCATAGCAACAACAAATAAAATTTGTCACAAATCTTCCATACATCATAAGTATGAAATTTGACCAAGATCCGGTCATGTTAGATAATTTTGCTAAGCCCCTAAAAAAACCTGAATAACTAATCACAGACCTATAGTACTCTAATAATGATAATTGTGTTTTCATTTTTCAAGTAATATACTGATTCAATAGAAAATGTTGTAGAAGTATTATTGGCCAATTGCTATGGCAAAGACAGTTCAGTAGGCACCTCAGATGTGATTATCCCGAAAGGAGTCATATCGCCAATGGCTTTAGTGGTTATGGACTTCAAGATCCCCGAAGGTTGTGGGTTTTGCTGGAACTTGAGTGTACACCCTTCTGTAGGATTCCTTCGACGCTCATTTACCTTGGAGAAACCGGCTGCAGAGAGATATTCAGAGTGATTTCCGAGTGGAAACGGCATATATCTTCATTGTTGCGTTTTTGCGTCGACGAACATTAAATGGCCTCCAAACCTACTCTCCTCACAGCATTCATTTAACAGCATATGCTAATGTCACTACATGCCATTTGTTGCAGACGCCGTCCGCCGAACAGCAACCACCATCCACAAAGAAGTTGGAAAAGATAACAATATGTCACCACTTAGAGCAGTGACATAAGAACTATACTTGGGCCTATTTACAATAAGTGAAATATTTTGGAAAATCGAAGAATTTGAGTTTGCTTGATAAATACTAAGGTAGCCATTTGAAATTTTCTATCCCCAAATCTGGGCTGTAAAGCTATCTACTTATTTCAAGCCAAACCCTATGATGGATTGAGCTGAGATTTAGAATGGTTCATGTTATAAAGTTCTAGACCTGCAGTGGCGTAGGAACAATGTACGCCAAAACGCCAGTGCGTAGTGTTGAAAAGTGAGAATAAAAAGGCTTATTAATTTACCTATGTTCTTTGTTCATATTTTCTTATTGTATTGTGCAAAAGTAATCTCGAGCACACTAGCCTAAAGAAATGTTTGTGGATACCATATGATATGCTCGATTTTTTAATAGTACTCTTTTGCATGTTTTTTGTGCCTCTGTTATTTTTCTAACCTTGGCCAAAGAATAAAATATTGAAAGTTAATACCTTGTTTCTACAATTCTAATACTGTAGAAAATGCAAAGTAATCATTATTGCTCCGTTTGGCAAATAATCAATTAACGGATTGAATTCTCTTACCAACATGCTTTATTTCATGAAAATCGAGTCACTATTGACTGACTATCTTATGGATTTTAAAACTAAAATAAAATTTCGCCAAATATTCGTGATTC